AGTTCTTCTTCCCTCCCCTTCTCCTGCCCCACACTGCTCCTTATCCCCTTCCCACTCCCCATCCACTTCTCAGAGATGGAAAGATCATCTTTGGGGAGTCAACAAATCTGGCATACCAACTTGAGACAAGACCAAGCCCCTCCCCCATGTATTAAGGCTGAACAAGGAAAGGGCTCCAAAAAGCCAGTTCATGTGCCAAGGATAGGTCCTGGTCCCACTGCCAGTCCTCCCTCCCCACTGCCAAATAAAAGAAAGATCAAGCCACATAACTGTCACCTGCATTCTGAGGGTCTAGTTTGGTCTCATGAAGGTTCCCCAGCTCAAGCCCATAGCTCCCACTAGCTGGGGTCAGCTGTCTCTGTGGTTTTTCCCATCCAGTTCTTGATCCCCTTTTTCATATGATCCCTCCTCCATGTCTTCAACTGAGCTCCAGGAGCTCAGCCCAGTGGTTGGGCTTATTGACTAGTGCTGTAATTCTTTCCCTATTCAAAGTGTGTACATCAGTCAGCTAAGACTGCATGCCTTACAGCATGTGTAGAAAAATTGAATTAGCCAAATTATTTGATTCAGGCAAATGCAATATAGTATCTTTCAAATATTGAACAGTGCCACCTAAAATATACTATGTTTCATATATTTAAAAGGAAACCTTGCAAACTTATATTTTATTACTTCGGGTAGCTTCACCTTGCTAGCAGTTCATACTTTAGAAGATGCCAATTTTTAGAACTTAACTCCTCCATCAAAAATCAGTGGTTTTGTTTCAATGTGTCTCTGCTATTGGCTCAGTTATATTTTGGTGTAATCTTTGTACTACCTCATGCATAGGCCATTATTGACAGGAATTAAAGGAACATTGACCCTTTAAGATCCCCCATTTTAGAGGTCTTCCAGATATATTCTGCCTTCCTAGCAAATTTAAAAACAGTTGTCCATTTCCTAAGATGCTATTATCTGCTTAGCAGGGTCCATCTATATATTTAAATATCATGTGTGAAATCTATACTATTAAGTAGGCCTTGCACTGACTAATCTCTGTACCACTTGAGACTTATCTTAATAAAACACAAGTTTAAACAAGATACACAAGTGCTTTGAGTAGGTGAGTTATGTGTGATGTCCCACAGTGGATGGGTCTGGGACTTAATTTGAAGCACTGTTGGAACTTAATGCTGGAATATCTCAAGGACTCTGTCTGAGGCTCACATCTCTATTGGATTCTGCTTACTTCCAGGCTCAGATAATCTATCTTTGGGTAAAGACTGAGTTGAAAATACATGCCTTCAAAAGGGAGGTCTGGACCTGAAGTGTTAGTTTCATCTGTTGTAATAGAGACTCTTTCTAAAAGACAAAGGTACTGGGATGAGAAAGAAATAGGAGTTACTGTGAGGCCTATGGAGTCTCAGACATGAGGGTATGTGTTTGTAAAGTTGTCTTGATTCTTCATTTGCATATGCCTCTTTCTTTGTTTTTGAAACTCATTTTAATTCTAGAACCCAGCATTCTCTCCTATAGTTAGTTCTACCCTACCAGAGGTATCTGAATGCCCTAGAATTTCTACAGTTTGCTGAGCCATAAACAAACCATTAACAACATGGATAACATGTTGTACTAGAGTTCCCAAAAGAAACAAAGGAAGTAAAAATAGGGATATTGAAAGGGAATAGGTGACAGATAGATATGATGGAGAGATGAGTGAAAGAGAAAAAGAGAGTGAAATGGGGATAATAGATACATGAGTCTGTGAGTTATGGGAACCAAGAAGTTCTATTCATTTTCATCTGAAAGCCAAACAGTTAGGGAAGTGTGAGTTTAAAGGTCAGATAACTTGTAAAGTCTATGAAGTGAGTTTCACTTTGCCTGCACTCCTGCAGTCAGACACAAGGGGTAGAACTTTCCTTATTTCTCTCTGTGTGTGTCCACTGTGTCCCTTAAGTCATTGAATGATGCCTACACACTATAAGAAGGAAATTCTAATTTACTAATTACTAATTTACTAAGTCCACTCCTTCAAATACTATTCTCATGCATAACCCTCTTGACAGACCTACTTGTGCATTACATTTAATCAAATATCCAACTGTCTTATTACCCAGTTGACATGAAATTAGCCTTCAGACATTTGAATTTTGTGGTATTATTATGATCATCCTTATGTATTCAGTCATTTTCTATAGATTTTAGTTTTAATAAATTTATTTACCTTTATTGTGTATTTCTATGTGTATGTGAGTGTGCATATATATGTGTGCATGAGTTTATGCATGTGTATGTGTGTATGCATGTGTGTGTGTGTATGTGCATTGTGTACGTGCACGTATGGACCACATTGTGCTATGGAGGGCTGAAGACAACTCAAAGAGGCTTGTTCTAGTCTACCAACATGTAGGTACTGGGAATCGAATTCGGGTTGTCAGGCCAACCATTTTGCCAAACCATTTCACCAGTCCAAATAAAGACATTTAAAATATCCATATATAAATATGTTCATGCTAGTTATCCTGTGAAATTCAGCCATGCAGATTATTAGAGCAGTCTGTGAAGGCCTATGTCTCATTGGAATGTGGAACATTGAATACTGCCAACCCACACAAAAGATGTATCATATATATTGTCTTTCAAATTTTCTGAGAGTATGTTCACTTAAACTGATTTTGTAATTAAATATTGCAAGTTGAGTAGACTTCCTGTCACATCCAAGAGGTATTATTTTTAGAAGTTGGCACTGAGAAATGCAGTGTATCATGAGTTGATTCCCACATACATTGTAACAGTCCATAGTCACAGAAAAACACTATAGTTAAGATCATCAATTCTCAGAGATATTTTGGGGTTCAAATTCTGACTTCATTTACCAGTAATATATTTACACAGGATTCAATTATGTTGTGTTGTGTATGGCTCAGAATGATGTCTGACACAAAATCAAACTCATTAAATAATTCTCAAATATATGTTCGATAAAGTCTTATTGAGGGAAGAAATTATTCATGTAGGTATTTGCGTAACAGAAAAAAAGTTTTTTTTTTCTATTGCTCTCATGTTATTTTAAAAACCTGTTCATTAATCGTGTATTTTCTTGAATAAATTTTATTCTTAAAACGTATTTTACTTCAAAATATGATTATCCATAAAGTTGAAAAATAGCCTTGTTACAATTCTCTTCAATACCTGTGTCTTAGGAATGAAAACCTAGTTGTTTTTGCATAATGATACTGCCATCTCTTTTCTCTATTCAACTAAACAAAGAAGTGGGCACAGCAACAATAAATTATTTAATTACTTAACTACACTCTATATGTGGAAGTTGTAAAACAAGTAATAATTCTTCTTAAGTATTTCTAAATCACAGACTATATTGTAGAAGGAAGAAGAAATAATATGTTGTTTCTTTATGTGGAAGACAGTTTCTGAATGAACCTTTTGTTTGTTTATTTGTTCTAATATTAACATTTTCAATACATAAAGCAGAAGTACTATCTGTCATTTCTTCAGAAATAGGAGAGATGAAGAGAGGGAGGGGGAGAATGCAAATTGAGCTGTAAACCTGATCTACAGATTTTGGTTTCAGGAAGAGCTGAATTCAAATAAGCATACAGTTGTCTCGATGAGGCAAGGTTGTTTAGCTTTTTGGAAACTGTTTCTTTATCTGAAGAATTGGAATGATAAAAGCTCCTCCCTGGATAGATGTAAATACAGAAGCAACCTGTAGGCTAATTATAAACACGAATGTCTTCTCTTTATCATGTATTCACAATGTTCATAATTTGTTTTATGTTATTTGACATCTCTGAAAATCTTTGTGTGAATAAAAATTACAGAATGGTCATCTCTAAATTCTCTTGTATCTCTGCTTCGTATCTCAGTAGTCTTTGGTAACTGCTGGGATCTTTGGGGCCATGTAACAGTCTTTCGTTGAGCTTAGTGTCCAGTTAAGCTCTTTATCAAAATATATACACACCGATTTCCTTTCGTGTCAGTTCTCCCAAACAAATGTGCGTTACTCACTAGATCCTAAGAAAAACAAGTGATTATATTTAAACATTAAGCATTTCCAAATTAAAAATAATCTAAATCATTTTACTTGGTGTAGAATGGCCAATGTACATACAGATTCTGCATGGGTGCTTGAACCAACAAACAGACATCTACAGAGGTCATCAACTGTTGTTAATATGTGAGAATGAATTTTAAAATATTTAATTTTCAGATTTTGAAGTATTTATGTTGAACTATGCAGTGCATCCACTTAATCATCTGAATTTACCTGTACCCTGTCCTTAATGGATGCTAAAGTATAGAAGTAATAAACGTATCAGATAGTAAAGAGATTCATGAATTTTTACTATATGAAAATCATGATATTTTAAGATTTCTCATAGATACCTTACAAACCTATTTTTGTTTTTTGTTTACTTATTTATTTTACTTTCATTTTACTTATTCTGGTTTCTCTTCAGATCATATAAATCTTTCACCCTTTACAAATATATTTTAAAGTATCATGCAATTAGTACCTCTATTCTCAGTAATATTTATATAGTCTTTACTGGGCAAATTAATTAAATATCCTTATTCTTCAGTTTCTAGTGTGTTCAAAGAAAATTAATACAATCAGACTGGCTATGCACTGAGGTCATATCTACTTCCAGCAATATGACTCATTGTATGTTAATTATGGATTGCTCCTTTTATTAACATTAATATTGAGTAGAAAAAGTAGCTACTCTTGAAGCACTAAGTTCAATAAGACTTTTCTGGAGAGGTGCAAGTGTTCAGAGCAACTATAGATACTGTTGAAATGTTACTAGTATAGAGGAGGAAATGCTATTCTTAAATCTATTTGAATTATCTTTGATCAATAATTTAAAATGCCATAGACCTAGAGTTACCAAGTCATAAAACATGATTTTGAATAACTATTGACATGAAAAGTAAAGCATAAAAGTGACAGTCCAGGCAGAAGATTGAAAAGTGGAAATGTGGCCTTTTGTTTTTAGTCTCCAGCACACAGTTACTCCAGCTATGACTCTGGCAAGAACGAGAGTGTTGATCGAGGTGCAGAGGATCTGTCACTCAACCGGGGAGATGAGGATGAAGATGACCACGATGAACATGAGGATTCTGAGAAAGTGAACGAGACAGATGGCGTGGAAGCCGAGAGGCTGAAAGCGTTCAATGTGAGTCCCCCACATTGTGTGGCTATGTTTTGACCACTTCACGTTCATGCCATTGCTTGTTGGTCAATGTGAATATACTAGAACCATGTTTGTTTAATTTTCAGAAGGATTTTTAAAGTACATGAAACACTCTTTGACAAGCAGACAACAGAATTGCTGTTTTGTTTAGAATTGTAAAGCCAAATGGGTGCTGAGAACGGGAATTGTGTTGTGTGAGTATGCATGTCCACCTAGGTTGAAGGGGGCTCAGATGGTTACGCCTGTCTGTCATCAGTTATTTCCTTTGCTTTCTTAATTGTGCATGACAAGGGAGTCAACTGTTGGTTCTCAGAAATGAGTCCACTGTGCAGTGTGGCAATGTCTCAGTCCCATTTATCATTAAAAGTGATGCAATGGGTGCTCAGCTGTCCTGGTTCTACTGTTATTTCCTGATGTTTTATTTTTCATTTTTTTCTGTCTGTTTGTCTGTCTGCTTTCCTCTATGTCTCTCTCTCTCTCTCTCTCTCTCTCTCTCTCTCTCTCTCCTACCCTCCTTTCTTTCTTTCTCTTTATATAAATATATATTTATATACTTAATTCAGCCATTTAGAAAACCTTTAAAGAGTGTTTGCTTAAATTTCCTGGCTTTCCATTTGCAAAATTCTCCAGTGCATAAACCAGAAAAAGAATTATTTTCCTCTCGGTAATCAAGACAGGAAGCTAGGAACAGAAGAGAGCAGTCCTCCAAACCCTTCTCCTCTGTCTCCCTCTTGCCAACAGATGTCTGTCAGGCTGTTTGTAGATGAAAACTTGGACCGAATGGTCCCAATCTCTAAGCAGCCCAAAGAAAAGATCCAGGCTATCATTGACTCATGCAGGCGACAATTCCCTGAGTACCAAGAGCGTGCCAGAAAACGTATCCGTACTTACCTCAAGTCCTGCAGGCGGATGAAAAGAAGTGGTTTTGAGATGGTGAGTTAAAAATTGAACACAGCCCTAGATTCCATCCAAACCCCACATGTAAACCATGGCACTATTTTGTTTCCATCTTAGTGTCTTTATGTTTATTTTTCCATAACGTCAGGTACAAGGGGTTTTCATTTGCTTGTGTTTATCCCCCTTTCCTTTTCATCCTCCCCAAGCATTTATCCCCTTTGTTTATATGATGATAAGGACTCTCTTGGGAGACCAGTGCTCACAGAACCATGTGATAACATATCAGAAAATAAGGATAATACAAGAGAAAATCAGGGAGAAGCCAATTGTCACATGCCATCTGTGTTTGTTTCCTTTTGTTACTACTCAAGTACATGTGAGGTTTATGAGTCTTCAATTGAAGTTGCAGTTGTCGCTTTAGGCATGCGAGAGTGGCTGTTTTGGGAATGTAAGGAAATGGGTGCATCTGCTGTCTAACAAATAAAAAGCCTTGAAAACTAAGATGGGGAATGAAGGTCCTCAGGGTTAAATCTAACTGCCTATTGCTTAGATCTCTTGACCCCATGAAGTGAATGAGGTTGTGCTTGTTGGAGATGAGTTTGCCTGACCTTGATTACTTTGGTGTAGAAACTGGTAATCAAAATACTGTGAATTTCCATTGTTCTTTGATCTACACAAATCCAACGAACATTGACAACATTGATGTTTTTCATGTTTCAAAGTATGTATGTGTGTTCTTACACAAATGTTAGTTGCTTTATTTCTGTCAACAGCTATTGAAGTTCCAACCTAGGGTTCAGCACACAACCTGGCAAGCAAATGCTCTATTGCTGCACTATGGCTTTAGAAGTATTTTAAAAACTTTCTGATCATTTTGTTTCCTCTCCTCATACCTGAAAAGGCAGTGTTTGTGATCTGACCTTCTAGCTGTCTCATTCTGATGGGTATAAGTTGAAAAGATGAGAGAGATTTCAATGTATGGCTCTATATTTGCAATTTCATGGGAGTAAAGTCTTATGAAATGAATGACAGTATAAGAAATTCCATATATTGTCAATTTTCATACTGCTCTCTGGAGTGGATATGGTTTTCCTGTGTTGTAGAGTACATGATGAAAGTCTATTTAGGGGTTCTGCATCTACCACCTTCAACTACATGATTTGGGTAAGTTGTCCCTTCTGCCTGTGATTGGTTCCCTCTCTGCAGACCACAATCACCCCAGAGAGTGTTTTCTAGAAACCCTTGCAAGTTATTTCTGGCACAAATAAGTCTTCAAAGGATTTGAAACAAGAAGACATTATCATATATTATGGATTTATCATCCAAAGAAAAGTTTCCTGTGGTGTTTTTATACAATAATTTCACAGCCTTTCAAAAACATATGTGGTTCTTATGATTTCTATGTTGAATTTGAAGTTTGCAGTATATAAGTCATTTAATAAGCAAAATGGTAGAACTGAGTGACTAGATTTAGATAATACAGATAATGGAGTGCAAGAGAGAAGAGACTTGCTTGAAGAACATGAACTAGTTTCCCTACTATGGATTATCTAATGATTATATTACAAACAACAGGATGCAGATAAGGGACAAAAGTGATCTATGTCACAGATCTGGCTTTGACATCAGGTTCAAGCCCACTTATCAGTTATTATAAAATTCTAGTTGCTGTGCCAGAAAGATGGTGCAGCCTCTACAGCCTAGGCTCACAAATAAAATTTCCATTTGTAACTAAGTATATTTTACGTTATACTACACATTTTCCTCTTTTAATAAAAATGAAGATAGTATACATCAATATTATTTTGTAAGTACCAGACACTGCTTATCTTTAAATGATATTTAGAAATTCAATTCTTTGGTAAAATTTACCTTATTTCTTCTTGGTCTACAGTATTATATTCATCATTATTTGAGATAAAGAAATCACCACTATACAGAACTCTTAATTTTTCTAAGATCTATCATAGACATCTATAATTTAAAATATCATTGTCATTTTAATAATTACATTATTCACCTTAGCAAGATGTATATTTAGTAGAAATTTCTGCTACATATGGAAAAAAGTAGGTTAATACAAAGTCAATAAGTTTTACACAGTAAACTGAAACACAAACATGCTAAAATAAATATTTAACCTTTAATATTTTCATCTATTCTCTTCTTCATTTATTCCATGTGTATCATATAAATAGAACTTCAAAGGTGATGGAAAAAATATGACACATCCATCTGGTTTGTTGTTACTGAGGAAAGTGTACTATACCCTGGTCATTATGATTCGTTGAGATGACCCCTTGTCTGACATGAAGTGTTCAAATGCAAATTGGAGTGCCCTCTGTAATACATGAAAGATGTAGAGGAAAATGGATACTGTAAATTAAGCCATTTCAGTCCCTTCTGTTACTACATCCTCTCTAGTATGGAATACCTCCTTGGAAATGAGACACACACTCTTAAATAGGCACGCTTGAATGTTCCTTTCACTTTCTATACATAGTAACTTACTATGGAATTTTTAATAGAATTTTGTTCAATTTAAAATAGTCATCCCTATATGGCAAGTAAAATAATGAAAGAAAGAAAGAAAGGAAAGAAGAAAGAAAGGAAAGAGGAAAGAAAGGAAGGAAGAAGAGGAGGAGGATGCATGGATAGTGCAGAGTAATTAAAACTAACTAAATCTGCCCTCTAACTCTTGTTTTGTTAGGGGGAGTTGGTTTTTGAGACAGGGTTTCTCTGTGGCTTTGGAGGCTGTCCTGGAACTAGCTCTTGTAGACCAGGCTGGTCCCAAACTCACAGAGATCCACCTACCTCTGCCTCCAGAGTGCTGGGATTAAAGGCGTGAGCCACCACTGCCTGGCTGCCCTCTAACTCTTAAATGTTATGTAAAATAACCTCTAGGATTTTAAAATTCAACATATTAAAATGAAAACAAAATAAAACCTCAGCCTTTTCGTAATGAGTTTATTTTATGTGCCTCTTGTTCTCTAAGCTGTATCAAGTCAATAAAGAAATCAATTCATTTTAAATACATCTGTAAAAGTTAACTGTAAAGTGTAGGTGTATTTTGTATGAGATTCACTACCAATCAATAAGCTTAGTTCTCCATGTACTTGAGGTCCCTGAGACCAGAAGACTCTGTAAGTAGAGAGGAACACAATGCTGCTGCTTGCTGACATTATGAAATTCAAAATGACATTCCTATTTTATGTTTCATTGCAACATACATAATTGAGTATCTTAATATTTGCTTTCCTTTTCTGCCACCGTTCATACAAAATCTGTTCCTGCTTACTGTTCATGTCATTTTTGTTGTCCTCTGAATTTAATTAGAGTTATCTGCATGGCTGTGGATGTTTGAACACTGATGTACTTCAGCAAGGGCAACTTACCAGTGGCTGTGGCACTGAAAAATGAGACTGTCCCTATCACAGCAAGTATTATGTGACAGTAGGTCCTCAATGAGGGGTAGAGCCCAATAAGCCCCTTCCCTGTCCATGGTGGAATGTTGATGGACCTAATCTTGTGCAGGTCTTGTGCTGGGAACCATTGATGCTCTGAGTTCAACAGTCATATCATGTCCAGAAGACCCCTTTCACAGAACTCTTTCCCATCCTCTGTCCCTTAGATGCTTTCAGCAACCATTTATGCAATATTATTTGAGCCATGGAGAGGGTGATAATGATGTCCCATTTAGGGTTGACATGCAACAGTTGTTTATCCTCAGTACTTTCCCCTACTATAAGTCTATGCATTAACAGTCGTTCAGTGCAGAAGGAACTGTCTCTTCCAAGGACATCAGTAGCAACTGCTGGGTTTAAACATGGATTTTAGAAGACTGAAATACTTTTAATTAACTTCACTGAACGCACTAAACAAACATTGGAATATATATTATATATACACATACATTCTAAGCATATATGTCTACATATACATTTATATAGGTGCATACATACATGAAATTTTATTTTCTTAGAATTAATCAGACCCAGTGAGTTTTGATTGCTTTAGCTGAAAGAAAATAGTGTCATATTCTGCATAGAGTTTTTAACACATGAACTAGAATCATGGCAGAAAGATTCTTTGCTACACACAGTCACCAAGTCCTTAACACCAACCTCAAGCCCTTGTATCGTAAGCATGTTTAATGAAAAATAAATCTAATAAATTTGATCCAGTGTACAGTCAGTATTCTTACACTGTACAAACTTAGGTGAGTTAAGTAGCCATTAAATTAAAACTAGAAAGAATATCATGTGTTAAATTGTTATTGATTCTACCATGTAGCTTCTACCCTTAAGTTACTTCAGCAACTGCTCTCAAGAATAGGAGTCAGTTGTTCCAGTACATGAGTCAGTTTCTCCAAAGAGCTGCAGTCTTAAATTCAATCATAGCTATAATAGAAACTGGTGAAGGCAACATTAAGACAGGGCCAACGCCTATTGAGGTTCTTCCTGTACTCTTTCCTAGATTTGCATAGAGATCTTTGTCACCTAGACATAGTTACATATGTTTCTATAAAACTCAAATTAAAATATTTAGAAGAAATACAGTAAGAGAAACTTTTAATGCAATAACCCTCTTCTATCCTTAATTGTGTCATTATACTGATATAGTCCAAGTAGCTTAGATTCTGAATTCGATGACCTTGAAAAATTACATATCTGATTGTTTAAGAGACTATTTTTGCTTGAAGAAATAAGTCTCATTCAAGTTTTTTAACATATAAAATTTTGCTGAAGATGCTATCCACTGAGTTACTAAATATGCATTGTAAAAAGACTTCATTTTAAGATTCTCTTAGAGTTTAATGCAAGGGGAATCACTTACTAGGAAACAGAGTTCTTGCCTTAGTACTCACCACCGGGGATCTTAGCTTAGTGACTTCATTGTATACCTCACTGTCAGGAAGTCTGGGCAAGATGTCACACAATGGTCCTTGTGTCAATGTCTCTGTACATTTTCCCATAATAGTTATCTTGCCTAGTTGAAGGGGAATGTGAGGTAGCTATTTTTTAAAAGAGCAATTT